AAGGACTTGCAAAGTCAAGTCAGTGTCTCAGTCCATTTGCATTGCTATAAAAGAATACTTGAGGCTGGGTAATTCATAAAGACAAGAGGTTGATTTGGCTTATGTTTCTGGAGGCTGTACGATAAGCATGGTGCCAGCATCCACTTCTGGGAAGGGCTTCAGGGAGCTTTTACTTATGGTGGAAGGCAAAGGGGGAGCAGGTATGTCACATGGTGAGAGAGAGGAGACGCCAGGCTCTTTTTAACATCCTATGAACTTATTACCAAGGTGGGGCAGGGAGGACACCAAGCCATTTGTGAGGAATCTATCTCCATAACCCAAACACCTCCCACCAACCCCCACCTCCAACACTGGGAATCACATTTCAACATAAGATTTGGAGGGGACAAATATCCAAACTCTATCAGTCGGTTTGTCATGGGCACCAGTCTGCCATCATTAACTGATTCCTAATCATGACTTTGGGAAGATAAAGTGGCAAGGAACACAAACTTGACTGAGATAGCAGATTCTTGCAGTAATCCAGATCCTTGGGCCACATGAATTTTAAATATGACTGATAGAAATAGTTTGCCTCATTCATTCTTTCAATAAATTATTGCTGAGAACATTTTATATGGCAGACACTAGAGGCTGGGGACACCCTGGTGAACAGGACAGTCTCTACTCCCACAGAACTTACTAATGCAATTAGTACCCAGTTATAATTATGACAAATGCCACAAAGAAATATAGAACAAAAGACAGCATATACCCAGAGGACCTGGAGAGTGTGGGGGTGGGGGCAGGGGTGGGTTAGGAAAGGCTTCCTGAAGGAAGTGATGCCTAAGTGGAGACCTTAAGGATATGGAGGACTCAGCTAAGTGAGGAAGGGGTGGAGGGTGGTGTTGGTGGTACACAGTCTACTTAGCGCATGAGGACTTTTGGATAGGAGGAGCAAGGAGTACTGGAGAGCCTGAAGGAAGGTGTGTGTGACTGGTGTGTGGAGAGTGGGAGGAACAGGCAGCGAGACTGGTAAGGTAGATCATGCTATCCATGTACTCCATAGTGGGATTCTGTAAGCCTATTTGGAACTCAGGAAGTATGGAAGGGCAGTCAGCATGCTTCTAGAAGCCCCAGCTGTAGAACTCAAACATGCTGGCTAATTCTGTGGGCTCATCTGCAGGAAGCACACTTCTACATTTATAGTCCTAGACAGATGTGAAGTTCTTATTGTCCATCTACAAATGCTCACATTGTACCAACCATTTAATTACAGTAAGAAAAACCAGCCAGGTTGGTCAGTTGAATGAGGCAGGCAGGAATTGAAATGACACATCTCCACCATTGCACCTGGCAGAATCATCTGATCCCTAACTTGAGAATTAAGCAATCATATCAGAGCCTCCTACTTCCACTACCACTGTCAGCTTCCTGTCCCAGTCTCAGAAAGGTAAAACCAGTAGAGCAGGTACGCGTACACCCAGCATTCAATAAAACAAACCCAGCATCTCACCGTGAAACCTCTAGCTTCTGCCTTTGTCCCCTTTGCAATCAGTCAAAATGAATTCATTCTCACATGGAAAGTAATGCTTCAACACTCCTTCTTGCATTCAGCAGATAATCTGTAGTTTAAAGAACGATTTTTTTTCACAGAATTCCCAAGTGCTTTTATAAACAATAGTGAAACCCTTCCATGCCTCAGTAAGAAAAGCGTATTTTCATTTTACAGCTGAGGACAGGAGCCTGTTAAAGGTCCAGTGGGAGAAGGGACTAGGGAGGGCTCCTGATAGTCCCGATGTTGTGAAACTCACTCATCCTTGAGGCTTCTCGTAAATATGACCAGAGGCACCGCCCACATTACTCACTCTGGGTTTTTAATACCAATGTTTGATTGAGGCTTTCTTCCCTTCCTCCTACATTATTCCTTCAGAAGATTTTTAGAAACTGGAGGTTAAGGATTCAGCTGGGAGAATGCCCTTACGTCTTCTCAGACTGAATACTCCTAAGCTGGAGTCTGTTCCTGAGATAGCCTTTTGGTATGAAGAGAAAATGATATGATTACAAGACTGTACCCTTCCCTCCTACCTCCACCGCCCACTTTCAAATACCCCATTGTTAACATTGTACACTTTTGAAAGTAAAGCAAACACAGGGGAAACAACCTTTTCTCAAAAAGTGTGCCAGTCTCCCTTCAAATGTATTCTGTGATTTCCAATAAATCAACTCCCCCAAAATAATCCACTAGAAATCACTCCGACCCCCACATTCTAGCCTTTGGAACCAAAAGGACTTATCTAGCCTATGTGGTATCACTGGAATTGTCACTTTGAAAAGATTAGTCTTATCCTATATAAACATATGAGGCCCACGATGGAGAAGTGGTTAGGAATACAGATGCTGCGGTCAGACTTCCCAGGCTCTGCCATTTACTAGCTGTGTGAGAGGCAAGTTTCTTAACTTCTTTATGACTTAGTTTACCCACCTGTAAAATGGAGATAACAGGTGGTGAGGAGAAATGGGATAATGCAGCAAAAATGTGTAACAAAGGGGAAACCCTCAATAAATGGTAAATATGATTATTGTTCCCCTAGTAGAAGTTGCCCCTGGAGGGCATGTCCTGCACTTTACAAAAAGGCAGCTCCGTGGAGCAAATTCCCTGCTCCCACTTCCTAGAGCCCTAACAAGTAATAGCTCTGTGAATACTTTGTCATGGGCTTTTTTTTTGTTTGTTTTTAAGACAAAGAGGCTTGAAATGAGACAAAGGAAAAACAAATACCAGAATTGCAAAGTTAACATTTTTATTGAACTGAAATTGGTGTAGAACAGGGGCCACCACAGCTGCTGAGCTCAGTAACAACTGAAATGCCCCTGTGACATTTTACCTTTGAGAGTCCTAACACGGTTTGAGTGGAACAGCTGAGAAACAGCATATATATAATTTAACACCTCAAAATAGTTTGAAATGAGCCTCACAGCCTTGTTCAATCTTCAGGTTACAAATAACATTGATAGCATCTTCTGTGGCTTTCCTCTCAAAGTGCTGGCTATAATTTTTTCTCCATCCAGTACATGTAAGAAAAGGATTTAGTAATACTTGGGCAAGTAATAAACTATAGAACTTTAAAAGTAGTAAAGGCATATACCAAGCATACGTGACTCCACACATTTTCAGAAAGGCAGTGGACTGGCTAACGAGTTTCTGCCAAGTTTCAGAAGCAAAGAATGCACTAATGAAAAGGGTAAGGCATCCAAGCAGAGTGTCTGAACTGATGGACCATTTTTGTCTAAAACTAATTTCAACATCTTCCAATATGCAAGCAGGCATTTGTTTTACATAATAAGGTGAAACACTTTATAAGAGAAAACTCTAAAGCTTATAAGATCAATCAGAGAAAAAATTAATACTGAATTTTTATAATCAATGCATGGAGCAATGATATAAACTGACCATAACAATTTTGTGAGAACAAGTATAAAACATCCGTTACTACTTAAAGAGTTGAAAGTTAACCCCTCTAAAGTATTCAAAGTGGAATAAATAACAAGGTAGGAAATGCAATACCTATATATTTTAAAAAGCCCACATCTAGTTAATGTTCTTAGTTTGTTTTAAATCAGTTGTTCATTCAATCTGGAGTTGATTTAAGGATGTTGGCAAAAATCTTCAAAAGTCCTTCAAATCATTTTAGATGAAATGTGATAGAAAAAACTATACAACTCATTCTCTAATCTTGCTATTTTTTACACCATCCTTCCCAAAAAGAAGAGAAAAAAAAAATTCTTCCACCAGAGTAACTGACATTAAGTGGCCACTATTCCTATAGTAATCATTTTTAAGAATCTAAAGGTCTTGCAGTAGGAGATGGAAAATGATTATAAATATTTTAATAGGCTCATGCCTCATCTTCAAAAGGGATGAAACTTGGATAATGGCAGATTCAGAGATTTATAACTTTCAAATTTACAACTAATAGACACACTTTTTGCAAGGATCTGTCCAACACATACAACTAACATCTAAATTAAGGCTTTTACTGGTATGTGATCAGGTCTAAGGGTATGCATTGCTGGATTTCCATTTAGCATCTCCAGCTTTCATTGTTACCCAACTTGTAAACCAGATGTGCTGATGTACAGGGTAGGAGCTCCAATGGCTAACCATTCACCAACTGGAAGGCTTGTTTGTAAACAGGTTCTGAAATAAGAGCTGGCAGTGAAACAACTGAGGTGGTGCCTCAGATCATGCAAAGGGGAAAAGTGATTTGCACCTGCTTACATGATGGACATTAAAAAAAAAAAAGCCAACAGTTGACCTTCAGTTCAACATTTCAAGATTTACAGACCTAAAAGTTTAGAGCTACATCTAAGTCAATGGTTCTCATACTTTAGCTTGCAAAAGTCACCTACAGGAAACCAGTGAAAATGCAGATACTTAGGCCCTATACCTAGAGATTCTAACTCAGGTGATCCAAGTGGTCCAAGCACCTTTTGCTTTTGAGAAACCTTGCTGATAGCAAATAGCAGCACACAGTCTTCGATTAAAAGGCCAAGATGTCCAAGAAATAACACCAATGAGTTCATTACCTATAGACAAACCCCTCATGAGACTCTATCATAATAATATGATGCCTGAATTTATCCCCAATTAAGCTTCCCTTTCCTTTTTTCAATTAAAAAGTTTGAAATAAATTAACGTTTAATAATGATTGTACCAATTCTGAGGTAAAAAAAAGAGCACCAGGGATCTCAATGCTAAAAGAAACAGAATTCCTTAGGAGGTCTATGCTACATAGAAACAAAATTTCTGCGGTAATGTTATAGAGTGGTAGTGCAAAAGGGTCTTGTTTCAGTCTTCAGTCTGTATACTTCCGTATATTTTAGTATATTATCTAATCTTTCCAGTTAATGTTTTAGAAGAACCCCAAAGAGAAAAGTTAATCTACATGCTCTCTCAAGTTTTCTAGATAACCAACATTTTTCTGGTTTACAGTGATACACAACAAAGTTATTTATTTTTCTGGATGCTGGAGACAAACATCTTTATTAAAGACACTACCAAAATTTTGGCAAACATTTCAAAACAGATTTGTAAACATAATGCTTCCCTTTTCAACTGGCAGCACTTTGAAAAGACAATACAATAAGACAATACAACTTGAATCAACATTAGTTCAAAATCCTTGTATTTTTGACCACATAACTTATGTTCCCACATGATAAAACAAGTGACAGTTTAAATCAACGTCAACAGATAAACTCCATGAAATGAAAGTTTGTGCTGTTTGATGAATCACAGTATGTTATGGTTAAATATATCCACTCTTTTTTATATTCCTGGCACCAGGATGAAAAAAAAATCTTTAAATATACATCTTATGTAGGTAATAGCTTCTTTGCATATCTCTCTTCAAAAAATACTTTATAGCAGTATATAAATAGGTTACCTACACATTTAATTTTATAATTTTGTCCCAAAACTATAGATCTGTTTCATTTTCATGACATATCAATTTTTGCCCAACATTAATAAAGCTGACAAACTCGTTGAAATGGAAATGCTTTTGTCTTCCACAACAAAATTAGCAATTTGATAGAAAACAAAAACAAAAACAAAAAAACACCCTACAGTAACACTCGTCAGTTGTTTAACCTGAGCGTTTGGCCTACTAGGAGTAGCAGCTTTTTTTCCTTCATGCACGCTCACATCCACACCACCTCTGCACACATACAGATCGAGCACACACTTCCAGATGCTGGTAGGCCACAATATGCTTCCCATTGCTCTAATCAAGTGGGAAGCAGTGTAGCTAATGATTAACCACACTATGTATACAACTAGCAAACACCTTAAGGCAACCATTGCAATGGGGGGTTAACTTGCAGGGCGGATTTAATGTTCTAGATCAAGTCAGCCTGTATATACATATGTGTATGTGAATCTATACACATACATCTTTCTATTTTTTAACCCTCCAAGACAATGTTTATTTTTTTTAAATTTTGTGCAAATTTCTAAATATTCTACCATTTAAGGCAAAGAGTTTGCATTAAGAAAGGTCAGAAAATAGGCTTACGTTTATCCAAAAGCATTTCACCTTGCACATCACTGTTGTTGTTTTTAAAACACATACAACTTTTAAGTGTGGACACTGGATCCCCAATATCTAAAAAATCATTTCTAATAACAAACACAAGTTTTTGAGGAAAAAAACTGATTTGAAATATAGACAATGGATCCCCAATACCTAAAAAATTATTTCTATTAACAAACACAAGTCTTGGGGGTGGGGTGGTGGGGAGGACCAGAAAGAGCAGCTTCGAAATGCAGGGAAGCAAAGTAAAATGGAAAAGAAAAAGTAACTCAAGTTTACTAATCCTGAAACAGCCAAAGTTTCACCTTTTTAGAATCTAGAGCAACTCATTTGGAATTTTAAATAAATAAGCTTAAGTTTATTCACATCTTCTGGTCCAAGCAGAGTTCTAGGGCCATGACTCTGCTTGCTGTTGGTCAAATTCACCTATTAGCCTTTTGATGTGAGCCAGCTTGTTATGAAGATATTCACATCTGTATTTTTCTTCATGGTAATTGGGACTAGACTGCAGATGATAAAAAAAACAAAAACAAAAACAAAAACAGAACGGTGAGGAATGAGGTTGCAGAATTTACAACATTTTTCAACCACAGGTCAGAAAATCAACAGTGACGATACCTACCTGCTTTATCTTCTGATATTCTTGTAAGACTTCTTCATGAACATTCTATAAAATTAAATATTAGAAATCAGAAGAGAATAACTTCTTTTGTGTGTGGCAATACAAACAGCTAACATGCATTTAGCAAGAGTATAGGAAATGTTGACTGTGGGAATATAACTTGAAACAATCTTTATGGAAGGCAACTTGGCAACAGCTACCAAAATAGTCGATGCAAAATTGACTCAGCAATTCTACTTATCCTATGGACATACTTGCCCCTCAGTGAATGACGCATATACAAGATTATTCACTATAGCGCTGTTTGTAAAGCAAAAGACAGTAAACAAAATTGAAATGTCCGTCAATCTATACAAAGGATACTAAGAGGCCATTAAAACATGGGAAAGTGCTTTATGTACCGATATAAAAATATTCTCTAAGATGCATTATATTGTTTAGAGAAAAAAGGAAAGTGCTGAACAATATGGACAGCTTGGTACCATTTGTTTAAAAAAGAAAAACAGAATAGTATTCTAAGAATTTCATTACTTGCAAGATGCTCATTTCTCCCCATTTTAATGAAACCAGTACAAATAATAATGTATCATAATTTAAGTTATTGGGACATAAAACAATGGTACATCTTACAAATGAAGAAACCTTAGATTCAGTTAAATATGGCATATATGTTGAAATTACTTGTGTATAAATGTACGTACATTTTATACCATGTGTACACACATGCACATACCACACACTTAAACACTTCCGAAAGAATACACTGGAAATCAGTAACAGTGATTTTCTGTGGGGGTTGGTGTGGGGGGGTCAGGTGCCTGGGGAGATAATAGCCTAATGTATGTACCAAGTACCAGGCATGGATTCAGGCACTTTACTCATGCTTACTTATGTTTATTCCTCACAACTCAATGATTATCCCATTTTATGGATGGGGAATTCAAGGCAAAAAGGCATTAAGTAACTTGCCCAAGGCCACACAAACGTTAACCACTCCTAACCAAGTAATCCTTGGAATTACATTCTAGTTTCAGTATAATTATATACATTGATAAATGACTATATAGAAAAAAATAAACCCCAAACCACCATATCACCAACCTCTTGCACCTCTGAACACCGATTCTTCTGGCACAGTCTCCTATAACTCTCACCAGCTTATTGAAAAAGATTAAGGCCCTCTAGTAGAAGATATAATGAATCTCTAGGACACAAATGCTCTCAGGCTGTTCATTGTTGTGGGAAAACTCATCCATTGTCTCCCGTAGGTTCCAGCCTGAACAGTGGTAGTGGGCTGGGACAGAGGCACCACTATACCATCTGTGTCCGTGAAGTGTGACAAAGTTATCTAGCCCACATAGGAGGGAAATACTCATTTCAATCAATCCCTTTGCTAAGAACTACAAAAAACAATCAGGAGACAGGTGAGGCATCTCCTGCTCTTTGTCAGTGGTAGTAATATTACTACTTCAAGTAGGAAAGTGAAAACAGAGTAAGACTGGTTAACAAAGATCAGTCTTTGTAGCTAGAAGCACCAAACTTCTTTACTTAAACCCCAAATATCTGTGTATTAAGCCCTCTTTATTTCCTATATCTTCCCTATTCTATCTCAGATTGAGGTTTAAAGAAAAATACTTGAAATAGCACTGTTTTGGGATAGCACCAGACCTCTGAGCTGTAGTCTAAGTTGGCAGTGTAATTAATCAAATGTTTAGCTGAATCTCAAGATACAACTTTTTTTCCTATTTAGTTGTGTTTGGTATTTTTCTCAATATGTGATATGTTATAGTGGCACAAGGTTTTTTTCCACTGGTAGAAATACAGGTTTACTATGTTAATTTATTTTCAAGAACTATTTCAAATATTTAGTTTCCTAAAGCAGCAGTGAGGCTGGTCTGCAAGAGTGCTTACTCTAAGTGCTTACTCTGTGACGGCTGAGGTTGAGCAGGGCAGGGAAAGAAAGAAGGTAAAATATGAAAGTCAGTCCATCTAGTTACAAATCCATTTACCTGATACTCTTTTGAGCCTGGAGAAAGGCGCTTTCTTTGTGCATCTAGTTTGATAAATCTTCTAGCTACAGTCTCCATCCTGGCATGCAAAGCTCTGTACTCATCATACTCTGCATTGAAGTCATCCTTATAATTCTGGCGTTGCTCATAGGAGACAATAGCGATATATTTTCTAATAAGAAAAAAAGACAAATGGAGAGTAGCTATCCAATAAACATGATTACACAAGTCTGAGATTTAAACCAAATATTTAGAGATTAGATCCATGCATGTGTCACTAATGTTTAATGCCACTCTGCCACTGGTTGGCTGCTAGGTCACTCCTCCAAACATCTTCAGGTAAAATTATTACACAGAGTTTGAGAGCTTCAACGAAGGAGAGTAAATGTGGTAAAGACATGGTGGCAATGGAACTAAAATGCAACTAAGTAAAAAGAAAACAGTATTTACACAGATCTAGTCTCCTGAATCTTTCTCTATCCAAGATAATTCACTACCACACTAATGGTAGATGCTAACCCATCTGTTACAAGTCACAGAGAGACAGAAGGACTCAATGGGTAATGTGAAACCAGGAGAATGTCATGCAGTCACTGAGTGCTGAAAGTCAAAGCTCTCTCTGGACCTACTGCTTTATGAGAGGCAGTCTGTTGCTTGGCCTTTCAGACATGCTGCCAGCAGACATCTTCAACAAGGTGCCTCAGGCTTGCTTCCTCTGTCCCTTTCCTCATATTTCTGACCAAGCAAATATATAAAGTATGAAAGGGAAATTACCAACCATTCTGTAAAATGAGGGTTAGACCAAAAAAAGGCATATTTCTCTAGTTCTTTTCAAACATTTAAATGTCATACTATGTTGAACAGAAGCCAGTGTTGTACTATTAGTTTAACTTACTTTCTTAATAAAATGCCATAAATCTGTGTTTTACTTTGGGATATGAATTACTCTTAACTGGTGAGAGAAGACCATTTTCCTAGAGCATCGGTTTATTCAATAATAAATAAATTAAAACAGCATTTTATTATTAAACTTAGCATTACAGTATTACTTTTTTTTTTTTTTTGAGATGGAGTCTTGCTCTGTGGCCCAGGCTGGAGGGCAGTGGCGCCATCTCAGCTCACTGCAACCTCTACCTCCTGGGCTCAACTGATTCTCGTGCCTCAGCCTCCTGAGTAGCTGGGATTACAGGTGCATGCCACCACACCTGCTAAGTTTTGTATTTTTAGTAGAGACAGGGTTTTGTCATGTTGCCCAGTCTGGTCTTGAACCCCTCACCCCAAGTGATCCACCCACCTCAGCCTCCCAAAGTGCTAGGATTACAGGTATGAGCCACTGTGCCTGGCCTATTACAGTATTACTTATTTGTAGATCTGGGAACTGGGATCACATAAGGATCTGGCCTGGTTCTCTGCACTCTGTGTTCCTGTCATTAATGCAAAATTCCCTTGAGTTTTTGAAATAAAAATTGAGATTTCAAAGCAATTTCAGGCAGGTGGTAGGAGCTTCAGGATGCCCCTTGGGGATACACATATATTCTTCACTGCCATAAAATCTTGGAGTTCAGTCCTCTCCAAATGGTCTTATATAAGCCCATCAGTTCATTTAAATTGCTAATATCACAGATGCTTAGCAGGAAATGTGAGAAAAGTGATGCAGTGAGCAAACTTAGTGTCCTCATTAATATTTTTATTCATGCTGAGTTAGACAGTGTAGAGGTTTAATTTTCTAAGTGTAATTGAAACAGTGATAGTCCGCTGATGTAAAGCTGCCCTTCTGGTGTCTTAGCTATAAAAGGCACACTGCCAGCCAAGCAGTGAAGCAGTCCTTCCTGGGCATGGGCTGTATTGACTGTACACCAGAGGGAGCCCCGGTGTAAAAAGAGGTCCCTGGGGATAAGCATATATTAGCAACACAGCTAAACTGATCTTGAAACTCAGACTTAATTTGTTATATATTTATCATGCTTTCTCAAAATCACACCTTCAGTATTTTATTTAATAATTTCCTTAGGGAAATTATTCAGTGACCACAATTGTGTGGTCAACAACTGTGTTGCTATTCTAGAAGAAATTATTTGGTTACACTGGCATTTTTAAGAAAAAAGTTTCCCTACTTTTACGAAAAATTGTTGTAGTTCTACAGTTGGCTCTTTATGTGGTGATGGAAAAAATTTTAATAAGTTTTGACAGCTTAACTACAAGTAAAAGTAGTCTTATTACATAAAAATTAGAAATATTTTGGTTAAGTATGAATTATTCAAAGGTTGATCATTTAGGTTTTATTTATTTATTTTTATTTATTTTTTTGAGATGGAGTCTTGCTCTGTCGCCCAGGCTGGAGTGCAGTGGTGCCATCTCGGCTCACTGCATCTCGGCTCACTGCAAGCTCCGCCTCCTGGGTTCATGCCATTCTCCTGCCTCAGCCTCCCGAGTAGCTGAGACCACAGGTGCCCGCCACCATGCCCGGCTAATTTTTTGTATTTTCAGTCAAGACGGGGTTTCACCATGTTAGCCAGGATGGTCTCAATCTCCTGACCTCATGACCGCCTGCCTCGACCTCCCAAAGTGCTGGGATTACAGGCGTGAGCCATCGCGCCCGGCCTCGATCATTTAGGTTTTATAGTATATCCCTTTAGTTTTCTTATGAGGCAACTTAAGTTCTGTAGTTTTGGTAATTTTTCTGAAAATCCATGCTTTTTAACTATTTTTAGAAAATTTGCTACATATAAATTGTGTTTATTTAAATAAATTAAGCAAACAATCACATAGTACTAGAAACATGACAAACATGCAGAAATGCACTGAGGCAGATCCAGGAACCATCCTTAGATAAGTAACCTGAAAAAAAAAACCTTTTAAATATGGAATTAAGGCCAGGCTCACGCCTGTAATCCCAGCACTTTGTGAGGCTTGAGGTGGGTGGATCACCTGAGGTCAGGAGTTTGAGACTAGCCTGGCCAACATGGTGAAACCTCATCTCTACTAAAAGTACAAAAAATTACCCGGGCATGGTAGTGGGCACCTGTAATCCCAGCAACTTGGGAGGCTCCACTTGAACCCTGGAGGTGGAGGTTGCAGTGAGCTGAGGTCGCACCATTGCACTCCAGCCTGGGCAACAAGAGCGAAATTCTGTCTCAAAAACAAAAAAAGGAGGGATTAACTAATGAACTTGGCAAAACACAACAGTCTTGAACCCATGGGGAAAAGTTTAGCATTATTTTTTAGTTTCCCCACATGATTTTGTTGTATATAATAAGTGTATGTCACTATTATAAAAAAGAATTCAAAATCCATCAAAAAAGAACAAGAGCACTGCATTGGCAGTTGTTATTCAAGGGGGTTGACATTTAAAGACTTCTAAGGAGAAGTGGTTTGCAGTTAAAGAGGTGAACCCCCTCGGCAGCAGAGCCAGAGGCTGTCCTGGAAGCCTGGCTGCAGACAACGGACCCTTCCTGGGCCAACTAAGTGGTAGGTCATAGCTGCCTTTCAAGGCCCTCCTACAGAACTCTAAAACCATTACATACACTACCTCAGATGAGAGGGTACTCAGCAAGGTTTCTCAAGTTCCTGTTAGTTAAGAGATGATAACCAGCATTATGGTTTCATACTGTATCATTCCCCAATAAGTATAGCTTTCACACTACTGTTAAGCAGAAGTAACACATTTTAAATCTAAAATGATCTTTACTCTGGAAATGAAAAGGGCTAAACAACATAGTTTAACATTGTCCACCATGAGATGCTACTAATAGAAGAAAAGTGTTCAGACAGCCCAGATTCCATTTTCCCTTCTCATTCTAGCTATTTTGCACATTTGTTCAAAGCTATTCAAAGTCCGATTTGTTTGCTCTTTCCCTCTCCATTTTTCCAGGCTCCTGCAACTTAATTATTTTCTTCTTTTTTTTTTTTTTGAGACGGAGTCTCACTCTGTCCCCCTTGCTGGAGTGCAGTGGCCGGATCTCAGCTCACTGCAAGCTCCGCCTCCCGGGTTCAGGCCATTCTCCTGCCTCAGCCTCCGGAGTAGCTGGGACTACAGGCGCCCGCCACCTCGCCTGGCTAGTTTTTTTTGTATTTTTTAGTAGAGACGGGGTTTCACTGTGTTAGCCAGGATGGTCTCGATCTCCTGACCTCGTGATCCACCCGTCTCGGCCTCCCAAAGTGCTGGGATTACAGGCTTGAGCCACCGCGCCCGGCCTATTTTCTTCTTACAGAAACCTTTTATTCTGTAAAAAAGCTAGAATTATGTGTCCAAGTTATAATTTCTGTGATAGCCAGTTACAAAAATGTCCCCAGCTCAGCATTTAGCAACTTGTCACAACAAGAAAACATTATAACCATTACTAAATTGAAATGATCAGATTTTACTCTTCTCTCCTCTAAAAATTAAATTGAGGGCAGAACTTTACTTAAATAAAAATCAGTCTATCTTAACACTTTGTATTATTATGTGCAGAGGTTCAAGCACTTTGTCAGCAATAAACCATCCCTTTGGGGGACCCAAGTGAATGACTGGGCATTGATAGACTGTCAGCTTTGAAGAGTCAGATCCCTAAAATCTTTCACAATCAAATGCTTAGCCAGGCCCCGGAACAAAGGACAGGCTTCTCTATAGTTAAAGACCAATGAACACAACTCAGAGCGGAGGGAGGCACAACCTGCTCATGCAGACAAGGGTAGATTTGGGACGGGCAGGCTAAATGGCAGCCTTTCAATTGCAGAGGTGGCTCCAGGACTCTATTTCTGGAACTTCTTACTTTTCTGATTTGCAAATTATGGGAAAAGAACTTGCAAAGTTTCTAAAATTAAGTCGCTCTCTCCATTGGCAGACATATGAACTTACATCAAATAATCTGGGAGTTCAATTGCTGAAGGTTCCATGGAGGCAGTGCAATCCTCTTTAACTCCTACAAAGAAAAAAAACAAAATCAGAGCATTCATCAACCAGGAAGGTTATCAAATGCCTGTAATTCTAAAATAGATTAGAAACATCTGGAACACTTTTCCTCAAATTCTATTCTTCCATCTCAATAAGCAACAGTGAGCAAGGAATACAATTGAACACGAACAATAGAGGCCCTATGACCAGCGCCAGCAGAACCGACGCCAGGCATTTAAAGCACCCTGGCTACTGCAGTGTCTGCACAATAAAGGAATTCCATCTTAACCCAAGGTCAATCTTCTATTCTTTCAACAACAGTTGTGGCATCTGCCCAGCAATTCAAAGACTGTGGTGGCAGATGCAGCCAGACAATGGGAGATACAAATTTTACATCAACATCTACTTTTCATGGGATTCAAACAAGGCGGATGAGACAATAGAGTCAGGTAGCAGACTGCTTTGGTCACTGTATTTTTATTGCCTCCCTTTTTTGTATGCAGACACTGGAATTGGGTAGAAAGTTTTCCCATTGGTTCAAAGTAATTTAAAATAAGGTATTATTGAATGTCGATTTATATTCCTGTAATCTCTAGCACTCATAACACTAAACAGATTTTTCTTTTTTTTAAGGACAAAAAAAGTGCTAAACATTATGGCTACACAGTGAAAGTATGTAAATCCCTCAGTATTCCATTTGCTTAAATGCACCATGTCCAGAGGATATTCTTTTTATTAGGGTAATTTTTTATCATTCTTTATTAGGGTAATTTTTTATCATTCAAAGTAGGGTTAAACTGATAACTTGAACCCTAATCATGCCCACTGGCAAAACATATAAAAGTGAATGTTAGATAATTTCTCGGTTTAATATTTTAAAGGACAAAGTACCCTAAACAAATACAAATACATAGACTCTGAGTGCATGCTGCTCACCTATAAATATATTTGATTCATGCTTGGGTAAAAGAACATGCTTTTACAATAGCCTGAGTCTTAAAGAGAAAGGCATTAAGTGCAGGTCACCACCAGATAAATTCCAAAAAATGCAGGAGATGTGGGTCTGGAGCTTTCCTAAATTTGTAATTATCCCAACTGGTTCTGAAAGTTACTATATCCTCAGTAAAGAATTCAAAGAGACTAAGTGTGCTTCTCCAGGTCTCCAACTCTGAGAACACTTGAAACTCTGATGTAGATCTCAACATACTGAAATCCAGTTTTCCTGTCTCTAGCCTTTGACTCAGAAGCACCACGTGAGGGTGGAAAGTGTGGAGAGTGGAGTTTACCCAGTGGCTTATGAACTCTGAACATAGAGTTCTACTTCTTCATTTCTATTCCTGACCTGACAAATTCAACTACAAGAGTGTTGAGGGAAAAAGCTTACACCTACCTTTTGTGCCATTACATAGTATTATATTGATTGAAATATTTAAACAGAAATGCTTTGACATGAAATGTATCCAATCTAGATCAAGAAAAGCACGTATCATATCATATTCTACAGCGGCTTCTTTGGAAGTAACACTAAAAGAAAATAGAGCTTCTCTCATATGGCAAAGATGATCAATTAAATCTAAGGATTACAGACTTTCAGAATCATGAGCAAAATACAGAAAGACAACACTCCTTATAACTCTACTCATTAAAGTAATTTTTCCAAAGCCATATTTTCCTATGGAATTTTGCCTTAGTTATTCTGGGTTTAAAACTGGCAGCAATGCCAAATGGTGAACTTGGATCTTCTATGTGATGGCATGCAAGGCATTAAGTTTTAGAGGACATATTTTTTAAATATGAAAAATCTAATTCTGTCAGTTTTTAACACTCAGTACAATTTAGGCAAGCAAGCTTTTCATGAATTAGCTTTATTTAGAGGTAAAGCTTTAAGTTTCTTTGGATCGCTAGATATTTAGCATTTAAGCTCCTAAAGCTTGAAACGGTTAATTTTACAAAATACAATTGATGTTAGTTCACTAAAACAGGACTCTCAAAATTGGGGGGGAAACCCCTAAACCTTAAGATCTATTAAGCGAACACCAGAACAGCCTTGCAAAAGACAAAGTGTTTTCACTCTAAATAAAGATGATGTTATGGATCTGCAAATGAAATTTTATCTTGGCCTGATTTATTAAAAAGTTGACATTTCCCCTGCGCTAATGTTAATTAAAGCAAGGGTGACCCTGTTTCATTGAGAAAGAAGGAAATGAATATTCTTATTGCAAACTGTGTCTGGTTAAATCAGTTCAAGAATGGCATATAATAGGTCATGTTGAGGCTGCGCAATATCATAACAGAGATGGAAAAGAATGTTAAAGGTCCACCTTCCAAAAAGGAGTCTCAAGTATGACAGTCATTTTTAAATGCCATTCTTATTAATATAAAAACCATGTTTAATATTTGGCCAAAAAGAGATGGAAAACAACTGCTGTAAAATGAAAAAAAAAAAAAAAAAAAAAACCTGCTCAAAAGCACAACACTAAGATTAATAATTAAATGAAACGTCATTTGCTAAATAAATTACTAATTATAAACTGTATAATTTCAAACTCATGATAGCATGCACTTCTGGTTCATCTAACATGTAGTCAGTACTTTTACAAAGGTAAAATACCTCCACTGGAATTTGGACTGGAGTTATTTAGCTTGGCAATTTCCTCTTCTCTCTTAAGATCTTCCTCCTTTTCCTCAATAGTCTCAATGTCGTGCTTTTTTATTTGGTCCTTTTCCTTATGTTTTTTAGACTTCTTTTTGGACTTTTTGTGAGACATTGAATGGTTTTCTTCCATAGGCTTTGGACACTTTAGTAGAACTGAACCAGGGGGTAGGGTTTCCAGAGAAGTCCTAGAGGTATATTTGTCTTGCTGGTCCTCATAGATACTATCGTTTTGACTAAAACTGTCAACAGGTAGGTCTTGAGTCCCCCGGCCTTCTGGAGTGCTAGGGGAATTGGAGTTAGAATTTACAATCTGAGGAGGATGTGAGACGGGCAGGTGGGTTGAAGGCAGCGGTGGAGGGGTGGGAATGGCAGCAGCTGCAGGGGGCAGCGGGAGGCCTGCAGCAGATTTTTCACTGGTGGGATTCAAATGACCATTTAGTGTTGGTGGTACTCTGTTCGTCAGGTGAGATATTCGGGCTTTTTTATTCATTAAAGGATCAATAAACTCTGAATCCAAAAGCCGTTTCTAGGGGAGGGAAAAGGAAAAAAGTGAGCCAGTTTGCACTAAAATTAAATAAATTCAATACATGCATGGCTGGTTAAACAACTAAGTAACCTTACTTAATATTAATACTTAATATTACCAGGGTTGTGTTAACCTTTCTTCATGCTTAAGCAAAAACAAAAACAAACAAAAACAAACAAAAACTAAACCAGAACAACAACAACACAAAACCAAATGTGAAATAAATTTTCATGTTTAATGCCAAAAACCAGAATCTGGCAAATATTTCGTGAAGTGCTTACTGAATTCTTTCTAATCATACAGCTTTATCCTAAGTTCCAAGAGAGACTATGCTGATTTATGTGGATTATACCACTCAGGAGAGTATTAAACAGAGGCAGTCACCCTCCATTGCTGGCCATGGTTGACCTAGTTATATTAAATGAGAGGAGAAAGCAATTTGTACCATTTGACTCTGTGAGAACTAACACAGCTAGGTAAAGGGCAATAGCCTGCACTTATTTTAATCTTTAATGGGCTAAAATGCTCCAGTTAAGAATATTTTGGCTGTCATTTATCATTCTACCTGTCTTAGAGTGGGAACGACCAGCACTTTCAGAAGAGTTTCTCTAATTATCTTTATCACTGTTGAAATGCTATTTAATTTTTTTAACCCTTACATATCTCTTTACCAGATTGGAAGATAAGTCTTAATAACTGGTCCATTAAAATTAGGTGGAAGTATTTTTTTAAAACAATCAAGGTAATAGTAGCCTAATCTGTCAACAACAATAATAGTATTTAAGTTAAAAAGGAAATTTAGATAGTTGAAAACTACAAAATATAAATTCACATTTATGCTTAAATATAATGCTGTGGCTTGTATTCTGGCTTGAAAGAAAATAATGGTTAATCAACTCATTATTTTGTTTTCAATTTAACACCGTTTATTTGGCACCCAGCAAATAATCTGATCAGAGTAGAAGCAGTTTCATAATAGTTGGCATTAAAAGTGAGACTTCCACAGACATTGTATATATGCAAGGACAGACTTGCTTTTTTTCCTTTTTCTTTTTTGTTCTCCCTCTGTTCCTCAAAATAAGTTTCTAATATTTTTTTGATCTGTGAACGGCCGTTTGCCCAGGGCATGCTTAGTGTTCTCCACACATCTGTGGGCTTCTCACTAATTCTTGGGAGTAGGGTCCGGAGAGAGAGAGGGAGGACACTGTGTCAGCAGTACTGGGGTCGGGAGATCCGTCCCACTGTCTGTTAAAAGCACCCAGAACACTGAGAGAGTTCTGAGCCTGGCCAGTCAGCTGAGAAGCAGGCAGGCTTCACTGTAGTACTGCCTAGGACCTCTCACCTTTTTCTAGGATGAGCTGAATTTCTTGGGGAAAACTCTAAACTGGAGAAGAATCTGATTGGGAGTACTCTAATAAGGATCCAGTGGAAAAGAAAACATGGAAACATGCCATCATTTTTGTTTATTTGTTGATTGTAAATCCAATTTCCCCCAAAAACATTCTTCTGGAACATGTTGACAGACAAAATTAAATATCTTCAATTTTCCATATAATCTGATAATTGTATGGGACTGGGTAAGTCTTCTAGTTAGTGACCAAATTGGAAAGTAGATAATCTTACAACAAAACGTAAACTTTAAAAATGGAAAGCAAGGTAGACATTAAGTACTCGGACAAGCAGTGCTGTGTAGTGGAGACAGTTCTGGGCTGGAAGCCAAGACCTAAATTCTAGGCTAAGCTCAGCCATAACCAGCTGGCTTTGGGCAAGCAAGCTGTCCAGCTTCTCTGGGTCTCATTTCCCTCACTTATACATCAGAGGACCTGATTAGAGGCCCCTAATGTCTATGTTAGGTCTATAATTCTATAAGTTTATGAAATACCTGAGGAGAAGATACAGCGTCTCTACTAGAACACACAGGAGATTCTGAACGGCTGGTGCCTGCAGCATTCTGAGATGGATTTAGTTTTCTGTAAAAGACACACATGTTACGTGTTACGGAGATGATTTAAAAATGTTCATGATGGAAAGCTTGCCTTGCTTCTCTTTCACACCTTAACACTGAAATAACAATGACTAAAATAATCACTTATTTCCATAATTTTTAAAGAAACATTTTTTTTAAAAGCAAGAAAAAAAAGAATTCACCTAGAGAGCACTGACTCCAATGACCGTCTGTCTATTTCATTGTATCCAGGCCAGTCTCTCTGAAGCTCTTTAAAAACATAATCCTTTAAGGTATATGAGAGGTCCTTAGGATTCAGATTGGCTACCTAGTATGAGGTATAAAAACAGAGCATTAGGTATTTTTACTATCATCTCCTAACCTAAAACAGGCAACCTTTAGGATTTACACTGAAAATAATTACATCAATTGGCCCCAAAGGGACTGCTAGTTTTGTATTACATGCCAGATCTCAATAAATGCCATTAATTTCATTTTGGGAATTAAAGCTTTATATACACGGCTTAATGTTTTTTTCCCTGAATGGCCATTGTATTTTTAATATTTCTAATCAAATAATAAGCCCATATTAGGGAAAAAGTGAAGATTTAAAAAAAATCAATTATTTTTGTCAAAGGAATCCAAAACAGTTGTACAGTAGTCCCCTCCTTATCTTCAAAGGATACATTCCAACACCTCCAGTGGATGCCTTAGAACTCCGATGGTAATGAACCCTATATATACTGTTTTTTTCTTATACATACATACCTGATAGTTTAATTTATAAATTAGGCACAGTAAGAGATTAACAACAATAACTATTAATAAAATAGAGCAATTATGCCAACATGCTGGCAACACTACTCTTGTGCTTTGGGGCCATTACTAAGTAAAACAAGGATTACTTGAACACAAGCACTGTGATATTACAACAGTTGATTTGAAAACAGAGATGGCTAGTGACTAATGCGGGACATACAGAGGGTTATCAGATCCACTGCCATAGTATTGCAGTGCACGTGTCCAGGTAACCCTTACTGTACTTAATAATGGCCCAAGATGGCTACTAAGTGACTAATGAGTGGGTAGCATCTACAGTGTAAAGCTGAACAAGGAGATGATTCACATTCTGGGCAGGACAGAGCAGGACAATGTGAGGCCTCATCACGTTTCTCAGAACAGTGCGCAACTTAAAAGTAACAAAATATTTACTTCTGAAATTTTACTTTTAATATTTTTGGATCATGGTTGACCATAGGTAACTGAAACCCCAGAAAGCGAAACCATAGATAAGGACTACTGTATTACCAACATCCTTATTTACTTCTGGGCATTGAGTCCATTACTCTTGAGTCACAATAAAAATCCTTGATCACTTGTATTAAGTAGAAACCAAACAGTGACCAAATGTTGGGTTATAAACTTTCCTTTCAATCATCAACAGAACACTGTCTTCATAAATAGTATCAATTCTGATAACCTTGTCTGTCTTTGGATAACCACACTTGCTCCTTATATCTGCCAGTTCTCATGAAGAACCACTTACTCAAAGTCCTTGAAATTCCCCAAACCAATAAATGAAAACATATGCCTAGAGAACCCCCAAATTACTGTTATTAGTCAGCCAGTTTAATTCCAAAGTGTAATCTTTTCTCATCCCTTAACTGCAATTCCTAGAGTGTCGGGGCTTAGCCATTAACTAACTACACAAACATATGGGTTCATGTGTCAAACCAAACAAAAGTAATTTTTAAGGCTAGGAGAAAATTACTCTTGCTTATCACTTCCTACTGGAATAGATCATTCTTTCTGTGTCTTTTAAAAGTACTATCAAATATGATAGTTTATGCTTCTCACAGCTTAGCTGAATACTATTCTAACATTAATGTTGCTATAAAGGAGAAAATAGATTTATCCTAAAATTCAAATTTGCAAATAAGTTAATATAGGATACAATCAGATTTCTTGAGGTGGAATAAACACAATCCATTAATTTTCTTTTTCTTTCTTCTCTTTTTTATTTTTTGAGACAAGGTCTCACTCTGTCACCCAGGCTGGAGTCCAGTGGCAGGAACACGGCTTACTGCAGCCTTGACTTCTTGGGTTCAGGTAATAATCCCACCTCAGCCTCCTGAGTAGCTGGGACTACAGGTGGACACCGCTACGCCTGGCTAGTTTTTGTATTTTGTATTTTTTGTAGAGATGGGGTTTCACCATATTGTGTAGGCTGTTCTCAAACTCCTAGGCTCAAGCAATCCTCCCTTGGCCTCCTAAAGTGCTGGGATTATAGGTGTGAGCCACTACGCCCCGCTGGCAATGCTTCCATTTTCTTTTACCCTCATCTCTACACACATTAACACCCCTACCGCCACAGCAATCGGTTTTCTAGGTTTTTGTAGTAGGACATTCTCCTGGTTTCCTCCTCTCTTAGGACCCTTTTTTTTTTTTCCCCCCGAGACAGAGTCTTGCTCTGTCACCCAGGCTGGAGTGCAGTGGCATGATCGCAGCTCACTGCAACCTCTGCCTCCCGGGTTCAGGCAATTCTCCTGCCTCAGCCTCCTAAGTAGCTGGGATTACAGGCACCCACCATCATGCCCAGCTAATTTTTGTATTTTTAGTAGAGACAGAGTTTCATCATGTATTTCACCATGTTGGCCAGGCTGGTCTCAAATTCCCGACTTCGTGATCTGCCCACCTCGGCCTCCTAGAGTGCTGGGATTACAGGGGTGAGCCACGGCGCCTGGCCTAGGACCTTTGTTTTTTAAGTCTGTTTCTCAATCCTCTATATGTTGAAATGCTGAAGTGCTCAGTGCCTGTTTTCTGCTCTGTTTTCCTCATTCTCTTCATTTCCTCCTAAGATGATTTCATTAAGTTTGAAGACTTTCAATACCCGATATATATACTGCTAATTTCTAAATTTATAACTCTAGCCCCAACTATCCTCTGACAACCACACTCTTACATATAACTATCTATAGACATCTATCTCCACTTGGATATAGACATCTTGGATAGACATCTTCCAAATGGAGTCTATGTAAGACAGAATTCCTGATCCTCTTCTCCCCCTTAAACCTACTTCTTTTCTATCCCTCCCCATCTCAGTCAATGGCACAATATCCATTCAGTTGCTCAGTCAAAAACCTAGCTATAATCACAGATTCTGTTCTTCCCCTCATTGTCTCCCTACACCCAACCATTAGTGAGCCTTACTACAAAATATTAGGCTCTTTAAGTAGTCTCTCTCCTCTACTCCTGCCCCTCCAAGCCATTCTTGCCATGGAAGTCTGAGTGATCTTATTAAACTTATAAATCAGATGACATCATATCTTTGTTTAAAACTATAATGAGTTCCCATCTTACTCAAAATAAAACCTAAGCTTCTTGACCATGGCCTAAAAATATTCTCTGGGATTTAACCTCTGCCTCCCTCTTCCATCTGCTCTGGCCTTCTCTGTCTTGAGCCCACCTACAAGTGCTGACTCATCTTCTTGTCTTTCACACAGCATTTCAGTTAAAATATGGCCATCTGAGAAAAGGTTCCTTGATCTCTCCACTTAAAGTAGATGATCCCTTTCCCAGCTCCTTTTAACTCCTCACTGGTCCTGAAACTGTCTCATGAATAAGCTCCATGAGGACAGGATTTCTATTGGGGTCACTTTGAGATTCCAGCATTTAAAACAGTGTCTGGTACACTGTAGATACTTAATAAGTTGAATTGAATGAATGAATGTTGAGCTTGAACCAAATATCCAAATGTCAAGCTGGAAACATTATTCAACTTTATCTAGTTTCTGATTGTTAAAATTTAGTTTTTTCATAAAAAGTCATTCTAAGAAAAAAATGTTTTATTAATATATAACCAGTTTAATAATAAACAGCAATAAACAAATTTCCTGGTGGATGTTAAGCACTTTTAAATTTAGGTACAAATTTTACTGGGAGCCAACATCTTAGTTTATTTTAAAAACCTATTACTTTGATGAATTAATAATGTCCACAGGGTTCTACAAACTACTGTGTTAGTAACAGGTAAGCAAATTTATCTCTACTGGCACAGGCAAAGCCTGATTATTTTAGGTAACTTGTTTCCCAACTAGTTTGTCTGGGACAGAATAACCAATTTTGGGATGATTTGTGTATCTTGCTGCTCTTTTTCTTTTTCTCTGGTGCCTACTTTTGGTCAGTTTTATTAGAGCAAAGTCATGTTATTTTTCTTGTTAGCTGCTAGCAATGTTCAGGAAAGGGAATTTAGGTATAATCAGTTTATGTCAAAGTTCTGAAATGCCTGATATCTTCCTTGTGAATTTAAATTAGATCGTGCACGTGAAATGCCTAGCACTGTGCCTGGCACATAGTATATGCTCAAAAAGTGGTAGACGTTGTTAGCCTTTCTATCTGTGTTTTCACTAGGCTAGTGGTTTCAGCTCATATATTAGAATCATTAGGGCCATATACAATATGAGTGCCTAGGCCCCACCTTCAGATACTTGGCTTTTGTTGGTCTCAGGCGGAGTTCAGGCACTGGCATGTTCTAAAAGCTACCCAAGGGGATTCTAACATGTTACCAGGATGAGATGATGCTCTAGATTCTATCAAATGATCAACACTAGTAACTCTCATGCCTCACTTGCTTGGGGGTAAATATCTACACTTTCAGATATATACATACACACACACACATATACACCTATATAGATATCTATATGTATACATATAATCACATAACTACTGCCATGTATCAATAGTAGTCTATGTGTGAATTGCCTCTGCAGTCATTTGGCCTCTCCATTATCAAACCGAGGTAATTCACAACCGTTCGGGAGATGCAGTTACCAAATGTTTTGTGATTTGTAACCTGACTCTCACTGCTTCTCCAAATATCAAACTGAACACACACACCCTCATTCTCATTTATTCTCTCCTTTCTTTTGAGCTCGTAAAACTGCTATGTTACATATGGATTTAAATTATTTCCAAAAAGTGCTAAAGGACTTAATAAAGATCCTTAAGATTGATTGAGATACCTTGGGACTGGTTAACCTGAATTGGAGACAATGGTTTTACCCTTTCATAACATTTAGTATTATGTTGTGAATGTAAGAGATAATGGATTGAAATAAAGACTTGAAAGTGTTACTCTTTGAATAACAGATCAAAGCCTGTAGGTTTTTTTTTTTTTTTTTTTAAATGATGAAATTCAGAATAACTTCTTTGGAAATGTTATTTCTTTAGAAAAAATAAAAAAGATGGACCACCCTTTATGGTGGATCTGAATGCTCATAAACATTTATGACACATGGATAGAAGGAAGGAAGAAAAAATATATAGGAGGTTACAGTCTAACAAACCACTGACTTTAAAAAACAATGGCCCACTTTTTTACATGTAAGCTTGTGATAAGGCACGGGATCACTGTTAACACATTACAATTTCATATGCTTTTATGCAGACAAGCGACTGATCTTGGTACACTCAGTGGCAGAAAAAGACAGAATAATAAGGGCAGCACCAAGTATGTGGGGCAAGATACATTTTAAACTATTTACTAGGCAAAAATGTTCTGTCTTATACCAATCAAAGGCCAACAGAATACATTACACAATTTCACCGACAATAACCAATACAAATTAAGGCAATACTTTAGTGTATTCAGGACTAAAAACAGATAACAAACACTTCTTACTTTCTTCTTAATGGAATTTGAGAACAAAATTTGTTGGTCCCAAATAAAGACAATGCTCACATTTCAACTAGTTTTTAATTAAGTGCTTAAAATAAGATGATTTAACTTAATATTCACGAGTTGTATTTCACATGCCACTGATCAAAATAATCCTAAAATTTCTCTATCTCAATAATAATGATAATAATGACAACAACTTTTTTTAAATGAACATTTTAACAAGAAGGTAAGCAGGAAGGACCTTTCTCCAGCTGTCCTCACCTGTTGCAGAATTGCTCCCAGAGAGTTCTTGTCTTTTTGATTGACACCATCTTTCTGGAGTCTAGCAAGTAGCTCGGGTTTCTTGTAGGCCTTCAGGGCCAGTAAGTGAATCACCCTGTCCCTGTATGGCCTCTGAGAGACGCTGCTGCTGCTGTGTGTCTTTCGAATTGTATTTGCAGGGTTCATGGGGGTTGACCTTTTCCTCTCAGGAACTGTATCTGAAACAGCTTGAGGTGCTTTCCGAATTTGCACTCTTTTCCCTAAAGTCCAGTGGAAATGACATTGTTACACATTTGTGGGTTACAATATGAGCATCTCAGTTTCCACAATTCTGATTTAGGTATCTCTTCATTTCTAGAGGAAATAATAATAAAGGCCACTTTATTTCAATCTTTAAGAAGGCATGCAAACAGAAAGCATTTTAAATAAATGGCCTAAAATTTGAATTAGAAATCATTTTAATAAAATCATTTCTTGGAAATAATATGTATTATGCATGTATTTTGGTGATTTCCCTACAGAAAGATAATAACTAGTAACACAAACTGTAACCACAGACTTGATAACTTCTATCTTAAATAAATATATGCCATTTCTGAAAAGCAAACTATAATACAGTGAACATGGTGAAATGTCAGAAATACCTGTCAGACCTCTCTAAGAACACATTCTTGGCTGAGCATTATGTTAGTAATTTCACACGTTCAGAAGTCACAAAGAGGCGGGGAGGTCAACATCATGAGGCATCCATTAGTGATATTCGTTTTTTTTTTTACAGGCCACGACAAGTTTTAGGATTCATAAAACAAAACTATGAACCAACCAGCCAACCAATCTCAGAGGGCACAAACAAATCTCTCCTCTGCAGTGCTGAGACTACACATGTGAGTTAGAGAAACGGAAAATGGTACAAAGGAGGCCTTCACACCATTCTCACATGGGCCAGTGCTGTTCATGTGGTTAACCCATTTGCTGTTTAGACTGAACACTGACACTTGGCAAGTGGCTACTTCTAGAACATATGTGGGCTGAGGTGAACTGAGTATTATGTGTATGTGTGAAGCTATCCAGACATGCCTGGTCACTGACAATCCCAGTAACCATTCCTTGCTGAAGGGACAAAAAGTAGCATGAAACTGTGTGAGATTCTCATTTTATGATTTTACAGGTGGAATCTTTTAGCTTGTTTAGGACACACCAAGCCCCAACTCTATGCCCTCTGGTTAAAGAAGGGGAAGAATTTGTAATGACATACAATGTGGACAAGTGAATTAGGAACAAGACTAACAACTAGAAATAATGGGTGGGTAAAAGCAGCTCCTATAAGCTGTGGTCTGGGGTGAAAACAGCTCACTGGGGCAGGAGCTTTACTGAGTAGTAATTCTGTCCACGCTGGGCTCCCCAGGCCTGGTCTGAAGGCCTGTGTGTTTTCATTCCCTCCCACCTCCAGTAAGGGAAAAAAGATGAATGCTCTCAAACTGAAGCCTTTATTGGCTGGTATGTTTCTTTACTATCTGTTCAAAACCAATTGCAAATATCAAACTGTTACACTACTAAGGAACTCAGCATTAAGGGGACACTGCCTAATGATAAGAAAAACTTAAGTTATAATTAGAGTTTTAGAGAGAGATTTAGATTGGGGTTTCTGTATTTTTCTTAAATTAGAGACAGCTGGATCAACGTCAGCTGGATACTTATGCACCAATTTTGTGGGGGACACTGTGCTAAGAGCTGCATACATATTATCTCATTAGGTCTCACAATAACCTGAAAAGGCAGGTATCATCCCCTTTCACAGATGAGAAAACTGAGGCTTTTAATGGGATATGCTCAAAGGGTAAAGTCCTCACTTAGCATTTGGGAGGTTCTGTGATTTGATTAATACCTAATTTTCCTGCCTGTAAGTCTTTGTGGGAAAGGTTTTATGAACAAATGCCTAATGTTTGCTGTTGCTTTGTGTTAGGCTATAAGCTCTATGAGGGCAGGGCAGTGGCTGCTTTGTCCACTAGCATACCTTGAAACAGTATTTGATGACTAAATGAATGACAGCAAGAGAGCAAGTAAGCAGAGGAGCAGGAATCAACACAGTCCATATTTCCCCACATTGCCAGGCTGCCAGAGTGTGAATACACACTGAAATTTCTAATGTGGCACGGGGAAACCATGTAATCCAGCATTTCCCAGTTGCAACAGGGTTAACAAATATTATTTCCTATTAAAATTTTAAGGAATACTATTTTTTAAAAATAGAGTCAAGGTCACAAGTTTAGAAAATGCTATAAATTCCACACTCCCTCCCCCTTAACAAGTTTTGCAAAAAAGAAGTTTGTTTAACTCTTCTCCAAACCAAGCTAACTGAGAAGCCCTTCTTTCTGTCTGGGAAGGGGGATGGGCAGAGAATTTTTTGGTTTGTTAGCTAAGCTACACACACTAGGACTGGTCATTTAGGATGAATTCAAGTGGCAAGGCAAATAAAAATAAAAAGAGAAAAAAGTAACAGTACTTTTTCAGGTGCCCTACCTCCTCTGTACCTCTGATTCACCTCTGATCCTTGTCTCAGGAGATCTCCAAGGTCTACTGGGTTTATGCCCATGCTTCCCCAAAGCAGGTATGGAGAAAACAAATCAGGGAGGCTAACTTTGCCCTTAAAAGGGATGTAAGTATGATGTTTGGCAAGAAAGTAAGAGCCTGATCGAGGGAAGACAGAACTGGAGTCTTACCTGGGGCCCATTGCTAGACTGTCATCTCCCCATGAATCCCCTACCCCCAAAACACTCACTTTGTCCTTTACCTCATTTTTCTTTTAGACAGCTAGTTAGGGGTACCTCATATTTCATTCAAATACTTGAAATAACAACTCAGCCACACTGGACCACTGAATGACACTCAAAGATCACTTGTTCACTACCTCCCTATCTCTTCTGTGCCTGTTCAACAAGGAAGGAATCCTCTGGTTTAAGGAAAGAGGCTACAGATGAAGAAAACATCAGTGATAAAGGTACTTACAGAATTGAAATACTAAAAGAAAAAATGAAAAAGTAAAGCAAGAAAATGTCAGGTTCAAAGTGGGCAGAAGAAAGGATTTATTTTTTATATTTATCTCAGAAAAAGCCATTTTAATAAAACCTATGGGAGAACCTAATTCTCTTTCCAGACCCAAATGCTAATCAATTCCCTGGGCTCTTTATATAAATAGTAGCAGTGGCTCCGGCAGGGTTGGGTAATCTGGGACTACAACTAAATTGTTGTTTCATAACAAGGAGTCCAATTCTAGCTTCTTCATTTAATAAAGATGGCAAAAGTATTTACCCCTCAGTCTAATGGCTCTGAGTAAACTGTCTGAAAGGAAGATGTTAAAACGTCCATCACAAAGAGAGAAGGGACTGCAGCCACCTTCTGCAGTTGTTTTTCCATTCTGTGGAACCTGACCAGAAGCCCTGGCAATACAGACCCAAGGCTTTAAAAACATCTGCAGGCTCATGACAATGACATGACTCTGTCATGGTTAACTACATAATCCATTGCAAGGGAAATCTCCACCACCTGGCATTTGTGACTACTTTTTCAAAAAGTTTACTACCAAAATATATATACCGAACATTCACAAAATGTTAGCACTATAAAGGACCTTAGATCTTGTCTAGTTCAAATACCCACCTTTTTTTTTTTTTGTAATATTGAGAAAAGTAAGATGTTAAATGATTTGTCTGTCTGTCATCAAAAATAAGGAGGTTTGTTCACAAAGGGTAGAAATTGAAAAAAATAATGAGGGTGGGCTGGAAGTTGGAAAAATTGGAAACAGAATCCTAGAAATTAGACTGGTTATTTTGTATACCTAAATAAGTATTAGTACATATAAAAATTCATAATTTAAGACACTTTCAGAATTTAGGCAGAAGTCAGTGAGCAGACTTAAAATATTGGTGAACTAGAAGCAGTGGTGATTAGTGATTTTTTTTTTAACAAACGAGAGGAATTATAACAATACAACATAGTTTACCACTGATATAAATGTCATGACTACAAGTAAAAATATTACTGGAAGATAATGTTTTCTAGGTTAAAGCCTTTCCTGCTCCTCTCTAGGCAAATAGGTTTTGGTTTCTTCTGCCCACAGGAGGGTTGCAGAAACTCATATTCCTGGGTGATTAGGCCAGGTGACACCTAGGAACACAGTCTTCACTGCCTCGAACTGGCCTTCCTCCCTAGTCTAGCTGTCAGCTGGCATCATGCTACCACCATGCCACAGTGGGGTCAGCATTATTCTCATTGGTCTTCTACCCAGGCCTACATTGTTGAAAGAAACCTTGTCATGCAGGTACCTCTAAGCTGGCATAGGTGAAATTTTGGTGTCATTTTATGTGATATAGTCTATTATTAATTAAAGGGGTATATCTTACTGTCTTAAGAAAAGCACAGAACTTGTTAATGAGATCATACTCATATAATTTGCTATTTGCTGATACCAACAATTTGGTATGTAAAATACAGAGAGAATCATAACATTCTTCATGGGGTGATTATGAGATTCCAATGAGTAACTACATGTGAGTGCTAACCAGTGCCTTGCGCACAGCAAGCACTCAGTAAGTGCTGGGTTTTATTAGTATTGAAGGGTGATTGATATTTTAAAGAAATGAATGAATCAGACAGTTTTGAGACACCAAAAGAGGCAGGAAGATACAGACTGAGCTGCCTGGAAGGAAAACAATACATGGGAAAGGGCTAGCAATGGATAAGGTTAAAAGAAAAAGATCAAAACATGACCTAACAAAATACAGTAAAAAAAATCTAAACAGACAACAAAAAAGCCAATCAGGATACTTGAATCCATTGCTCCCCTTTATTCAGAAATGATCACATTTGTTTTTTTGTTTTTTTTTTTTTGAGACGGAGTCTCGCTCTATCGCCAGGTTGGTGTGCAGGGGCACGATCTCAGCTCACTGTAACCTCCGCCTCCTGGATTCAAGCGATACTCCTGCCTCAGCCTCCCACTTAGCTGAGATTACAGGTGCACGCCATCATGCCCAGTTAATTTATTTTTGTATTTTTAGTAGAGACAGGGTTTCACCATGTTGGCCAGGATGGTCTCGATCTCTTGACCTCGCGATCCGCCCGCTTTGGCCTCCCAAAGTGCTGAGATTACAGGTGTGAGGCATCGCACCCAGCCTTGCTCAGACTTTTAAGAGTAGTGTGGCTAGTTTTGAACTCTGAGGTGAAGAATTGGAGGCAGTCCAGAGGAGAGCAATACAATAATTAAAGGGTTGGGATACAGGCCATACTAAGAAAAGATAAAAGGAGCTGGGGTTATTTGACCTAGAGAATAAAAGGCTGAGGAGGTTAATGACAAGATTTATGACCACATAAGAACACTGCTGTGATGGTGAGTGGCTAGGACACTGAGGACAAAGCAAAGAGGAAAAGGCCTACAGAGTGTCCGGATTGGCAGAGATGGCCACAGGCCTCTGCAGGGAGGAGGAAGGTGTATAGAGGGAGGCCAGCTCTTCTTAGGAGAGGGGAGGTGTAATTTGGTTCACATGTAAACTCTGATAACCTCAAATTTCCTGTGGTCACCTCCAAAATATATGTAAATTATTTGTAGTACCTAAAAGAAACCTTGCAAGTTCTAAAATTCCCAGTAACATTAGGAAGTATGTGGACTGTGGGATTTTGGGTGTTGAAGTCTGTTGTGTAAAGCTATAAACAAACTGTACCTGACTCTTTGAAAACAAACAAAAACACATGAACACAGACGACACCCAAGGACCATTCAATGGAAAAGTGCAGTCATCATCACTGATTTTCAAGCTTTGGAATAAATCAAGGGGAGGGTTTTTTGTTTTTTTCAGCTAGTTATATTGGGAAGGAAAAAATTGTTTTGATGGTTTCAGTCTACTATTGCTTTGTCAAACACAACAGTTTGCCTCACTGTTTATAAAATGGTGGTACTAGGTGGTTTCCATCTTGGAAAACAATATTTTCCAAGCAACAGGGGTAGATCATTCATAGTTTGTGCTTAAATGTAAGTGTGGTAGATCTTGTGTGTTCTAAAAAACAAATTGAGATTTAGTCTACTAGCCCAGAAAATTAATTAAGTTACTTTTGAGGATGAAGGAGAAAGAAAGGAGGCTGGAAGTTGCTACCTCACTCAGCAGGAGAGAGAAGGTGAAAAGTCTCATTGCTAGTAACTTACTGAGCAGGGAACTAGGCCCCATGGGTACAGATATCTGGGGAGGGGATGAATTGTTGTTAAACCAAACTAAATGTATCTAAGCTAAGCACCAAGCCCCAGGAGCACTGGCTTTGTTTCAAGGAAGTACTTATTAAAGACACTACAGGAGCTTCTCAAAGCTGAATGTACTGTAGCTGGATCAGTAATGGGAAAACACAGAAGTAGAATGAAGTCAAACCTTGGAAAGATGCTAGTTAAGGGACCTGGTTCTTCAAGAGACTTTTTGTGAGCGTTTCAGTTTCCAAATTAATATCCTTTCATCATTTACTATAGAGTGACTTGTGTTATTAAATTGACCAAGGACTCAAAGAGCTCCTCCTCACTCTTGATAATTCTATTACTGTTAATAGTCACCATGAATTGACTCCTTAAAGTTTGTTCAGGTCACTGCTCATAAAGGAGAGATTCATCTTGCAAGTCTGGTCTCACTTCCCTTCAATCTGATAGACACCTGAGTGAGCTAATGATAAAAATGATGGGGGTTGGATAGGGTCTTAATGAATGGATAGATGAGGATGAGGATCACAACTGCGGAACCAAAGAGACATCACTCTAATGCTCTCTTGTAATGCTTTGCTATAAGCACATTTTATATTTTTGTCATGAAAAATCCTTGTTGTACAAAGATGCTCTGAAAATGTAAGCAAAGTCTACAACAATGAGATTATCAACCCATAAATTCTACTAACAGATTTTACCATAAAATAGCCCTACAAAAAGGCAAAACAAGAACCATAGTATCCATCACTGAAATTACATCATCTAGTGACAAAGAAAATACAACGGTACCACGATTGCAACTTCACGCAGTAATGTGACCAGATCCCAGTACTATAAAATAATAGTAAGTAGCCAACAGAAGATTCAGGATTTAGGAAAGTCACAGAACTTTAAAATATGCTCTTCAATTTACCGGCAGTCTGAAGAGTACAAATAACTTTGTTTTCCTCACCATGTTATCCAAAATGTTCTGAAAACTAGCTTCTGTGTTTTCATTAAGTTAATATTACTGGTATTTACCTATGGTGATCTTGAATTATTCCAATCAATCAGCAAGAGGAAGAAAGGTATCTATACAAACCTACATATGGTCCACCGGGTTTGATAACTTTTGTGCTTCGGTTGCGGGATTCCTCCTCTGCCTGGGTCATTCTTTCTCGTGTCATCTGATACGAGTCGTTTGTTGCACACACTGTAATTTTATCTTGTATAAATCCCAGGCAATTGAGCTGGGAGGCTCCAGAGCTGTCAAGTAAGTCAGTGGCTTTGTTAGACATGACCTTCGTTTTGTACAATAAAGACAAACAAGAATTATATAATCCTAAAATCAGCAGCCCAAATAAGTTTGCAATCCTAAAATAACTAATATTAATTTTTAAATGCAAATGTTATTTAAAATACCTAAGATCCTCCTCTTCACATCACTTTTTTTCATATTCTTTATATAATGGATGAAGTGAGCTCTCAGAGACCAAATCCATAAAATTTTGAAAAAGAAAAAAAATCAGTATTTGGAGCAAGACCAGAGTTCCGATGGACATTGTAGTTCTATACTGTTAACTATTTTAAAGAATTATCTAACACTGATATGAGGAAAGTTAAAAAGTTTACTTTTAGTAAAGCCACAATATACGTGCTTTGGACTGATTAGTTGAAATGGACTCACCACACAGTCTTTATTTTAAATAGGGTATTTTAAGGCTAAAATACTGACAAACATTAAAGCTTACTTTAATATTATTAGTTCAAAAAGTTCCTAAAAATTTGCAGAATTTGCATTTACTTTGTTAAATCTCTATAGCAAATGTTGAAGAAAACACAGGGCAAATGATTTTTATAGTAATTTTTTTTTTTCAGTCGGGGCACGGTGGCTCACGCCTGTAATCCCAACACTTTGGGAGGCCAAGGCAGGTGGATTGCTTGAGTTCAGGAGTTTGAGACCAGCCTGGGCAACATGGAGAAACCCTATCTCTACAAAAACTAGCTGGGCATGGTAGCATGTCCCTGAAGTTCCAGCTATTCAGGAGACTGAAGTGGGAGAGTCTCTTGACCCCAGGAGGTGAAGGCTGCAGTGAGCTGAGATGGCGCCACTGCACTCCAGCCTGGGCAACAGAATAAGACCCCATCTCAAAAAAAAGAAAAAAAAAGAAAAAACTTTTATTGAAATAATCATGAATATTAACATGGACCTAGAAGATGGCTCTGTTTCAAAATAACATGCTAATATTAGGGGGATCATAGTCACAGTCATAACTGGTATTTTATAAAGAAATTGCTATGGCCTGAAAACAAACTGGAATATAAAACTAATGAAAGTGACACTACAGCTCTGATCATCTATTTCCAAACTTAATTATAAGTAACTGTGTTATAATACAAAGAAATAAGGGTTGATAATTTTTTTTTTTTTTTTTGAGACAGTCTCACTCTGTTGCCAGGCTGGAGTGCAGTGGTGCAATCTCGGCTCACTGCAACCTCTGCCTCCCGGGTTTAAGTGATTCTCCTGCCTCAGCCTCCCAAGTAGCTGGGACTACAGGCGCATGCCACCATGCCCAGCAAATTTTTGTTTTTTTAGTAGAGATGGGGTTTCACCATGTTGGCCAGGATGGTCTTGATCTCTTGACCTCGTGAACACTCGCCTTGGTCTACCAAAGTGCTGGTATTACAGGCATGAGCCACTGCACCTGGCTGATAAAATCTTTATAAATTGCTAATAACTGTCTTTACAAATGGTATTTAAAAAAAAAACAAACCAGTTAATTCATCTCATAAATATTCATTGGGCAGGGACTGCATGCCTAGCAATGTGTGAGGCATAGAGGCTGTGACAGGAACTAACAGTTGTGGTCCCTCCTTCAAGGGTGACAAGGATGGGCAAACTGGAAATCACAACACAGTGTGACAAATTCCAGGGAGCAGAGAACTCCCAGAAAGGTAATCTCACCTGGACTTCACAGAGAAAGTGATGCCTGAGGTGATCTAGAAAGATGACTGGTAAGGGGGAAGAAGAATGAAAATGTTCCGGGAGGACAACTAATCTGTGCAGGCCTAGGAAGAGCAGAAAGAAGGTTTTCAAATTGTCCAAAGGACACTGGGAAGGACAATTAGAGCTGAGGCTGAAGAGGGAATGAGAAATATATCACAAAGGGCTCTGAGGGTCATGTGTTACAGGTTTTGGACCTTATTCAAAGGATAACGAGAGGCTGAAATCAGGGGAGAGAACATAACTCATCTGTATTGCAGAAAGCTCAATCTGGATGGAGGATAGATTGAGAGGAAGGGGGACACCAGAAGGAAAGCAGAGAGGCTAGTTGGAATGCTACTGAAGGATTACAGGCAAGAAGTGATGGTGTGAACCAGAATAGGGCAGTGAGAATGTATAGTAGTACACAGCTTCTAGAGATAGTGAGGAGGTGGAAGTGACAAAAGTTGGTCAGTAGTTAGCCATGGTCAGAGACAGGTGGGGGAAAAAAGTTAAAGATCATGCCCAGGTTACTAAGTATATGGAAGCTGCTATGTACTGAAACACTGAACACAAGATGATGGACAGGTTGGGAGATAGGCCTGGGACAAAGAAATTAAGTTCAGTGTTGGAGATGGAGACTTTGAAGGAATGAGGAGAGAAGGGGTCTCAGGAGGGAAGCAACTGTGAAGAACACTAGTTTTAAGCAAAACGAAGAAAAGAAGACCACATGAGACTGAAAAGTCACAGCTATAGAGGTAGGAAGGAAACTAGAAGAGTACTATGTAATGTAAGCCACTGGAACAGACGCTTTAAGCAGGAGAGAGTGGTCAACAGTGTGCAACACTGGCATCAAGTCCAGAATAATAAGGAACCAATAACGCATCCACTGGATTTTGGGGGCAGGGAGGTCACAGCTCCCTTGGGGAAGCAGTTTCAGTGGAATGGTGGGCACTGAAGCCAGACTTTGGGTTAAGAAGTGAATGTAAGAGAGGTTGTTTTTGTTTTTTTATTTTCTTTTTCAATAAGATAGATTTGAGCATGTTTGCATGCCAAAGAGGGGAAAAAAACCACTGAGAGAGGAATGCTGAGAGAGGAGAAGGTCATCCTCAGAGGAAGTGGGAGAGAGCAGGGAGAGTGGGAGAAAATGACTGCAATAGAGTGAAGGTCTGGTGGCAGAAAGTTTGTATTTCAACATCTCTTCCTATTATTTACTAAGTAATTTACATAGTGAGAATAAGCTGAAGATACTGCCACTCATGCAAAGTCAGAAAACAGATCTTTATGCAAAACAAATGGAGCTAAACCCTGTAGGCAAGAAGGTACTCTCTAGAATTATTCACTCATCCCTTCTGAACCGAGTTACCCTGAAAGTTTAAATGTTTTAGACAAATGTATATAAATGTTCCCCTAGTCTTTCTCTAGCCTAGCTCACCGTTTCCTTCGCTTAAGTGTGAATTATTATATACTATAGGTCCCAGACTACATATTTTTCACTAAGCCTGAAAATGGGTAGATTTAAGGAATTTTTGAAAGGCAATTTTGACTGTGAGATTGATTTCATTTTACATATGAGAAAAGTGAGAATCAAGGAAGTTTAAAAATATAGATAAGAAGACTAATTTGTATTTGTTGAACATTTATTTACTGAGCATCTGTTTTTACCCTTTTATCTCCAGGTTGAGTCAATAAGCATGTATTTTGAGCTCAGTCAGCAGTGTGAAACTAGAAAAAGGGTGTAAGAAAGCCTCTGACCTTGAAAAGCATGTGCTGTGGTCACAGAGAAAAGATCCATAAGGAAAATGGAAATCAAATTGAATGGAAAAGGTGGAGCCAGATTATGGACAGGTCAGCCTGCCAGGCTGCGAAGTGAAAACCTAAGAACAAAAGCCAGTGCTTTTGTTTTCCTAGTGGCAGACTTCAATTTATACCCTTATCACTCATTTTATAAAGCACCTTGGATTAAACAGAGGGGATACATTTGCCCCAATATTCTCACAATAAGTGTTTCTATTCTCTTATTGCATCATATATAGTTTTTTAAGTAACCTTAAATCCTTTTCCAAACAAGGAAGGTAGAAATAACCACACAGGGTATTTATAATATAACAGTAAAGCCATATTACTTACGATGATATGAATGGTTTTGAAGAGAGAATTAAGCTCCTTAATAAAATTCCTAAGTGGACACTGTTCAATTTGTTATCAAAATGTGCTCACTATAATAAAACAACAATCTAGAGACAAGCACCACAATTAAAAATTAGTGTACCATGTAGTGTATAAACAATACTGGGGTGGGAGTTAGAAGAACTCAGTTCTCATTTTGCCTAGCCAGCTATGTAACTCTGGATTAGTTACCTGTGAAATGAAGGGATTGACTCACATAATCACTAAGGACCCTTATACTTGGTGATTCTATAATCATAGTGCTGATCAATAGAACATTTTGCAAGAGTGAAAATGTTATATAACTGTGCTGTCCACTATGATAGCCACATGTAGCTACTGAGACCATAAAATGTGGTTAGTCTGAATGTGTAATGACATTTTAAATTTTCTTTAATTTTTTATCAGGTGAAATGTAAATAGCCAATGTGGCCAGTGGCCACCACAGTGGACAGCACAGAAAAGTCTATATAATCTACAATACAGCAATTTATGCCAAAACCTTTAAGTCTGAAGGTGGGTAATTTTCAGAAAGCAAATTGAATATATACTTGGGGAAAATGACAGATTAACAAAAAGTTACTTAGTCACCTTAAATGGGAGGATAAATGTAAAACTCTGTCAGTGTCTTATTTTGTATCTCTGCCTCCTGTACCTGCTGGAAACATAACTTTCCTTCTTCTTTTCCTCCACATTAAGCAAGTACTTCCACAGTTTCAAGTACTGCACAGATAAATCGCAGAGATATGCTGGCCTAGGATACTTGGGGCTAATGTCAAAGCCTTACATGATGAGGAAATAAGAGAGACCCTAACCTCCCTTGTCTTATATCCAGGGGCAGAACAAACTCCTTCTGCTCAAGGGCCTTTTTAATCAGAAACAACCAAAGCAATGAAGAGTGAAACAAGTGGCTTATTGTTTACAGAGGATCTAAGTAGATAAGCGTTCCATGGTACCCTAGGGTGTGTACATTCTTCTCTTCCTTCCTCCTTTTTTTTTTTTTTTTTTTTTTTTAAGAAGAAGAGACTGCTTTACTGGGTTAATTTCTAGTTTCCATGCAGCTGTAGAATAAAGATGTTTAAAAATCTACCTTCTACCTTAGAACATGGCTTGAACAGGGAAGAAGGAAGAGAAGCATGCAAGATGGATATTTTTAACTTCTTTACTCTGGAGTGTGAGCCTCAAATATGCTATAAGATTCTTGCTTAAATTCAATGAATTAAATGTTTCTTAAAAAATCCTCAAATTGCCTTTAGTTTTTAAAAACTGCATTTTTCATAGGTAAAAAATATCTTCTATACCTTAAAAGCCCCATTAGACCAAAAATCTTTGAACTGTTGTGATTATATCCCCATTACAAATGAAATTTCTATTATACAGTAGGTGCTTAATATTTTTCAGATAAATAAATGAGCTCTGTAATTCAATTTAATACACATTTATGGATGACTATTATGTACTTTATTGTTTAATTTTCTAAAACCATCTTAAATAAAAAATTTTTCCCCTTTGGTGTACCTTGAAAAGTACCTACCTGGAGAATGTTTGCTGGATGCAGTCAAAGCTGCCCTGAGGGTTGTCTTTGCCCACATTTGACAAATAGAAGTTAAAGTTATGAACTTCATTGAGGGGATCATTTTTGGGAATTTTGACAAGCTAAAATGGGGGGAAAAGAGAGAAATGCCTCAAATTATAAATTTGCCATAGAAAAGTCTTAAGACTGACTTACTGGTTTTTCTAGTGAAAATATTTTAGACCGAAGCCCTTTTGATATATACATCCTCACGGCATTTAAATGACCAAACAATTCAAGGAATCTGGCAAACGTGCCTATAACTCACCAGATTCTTATTTCCATTTTCTACCTTTAAGTGTCAGTAATCACTTCTGCTCAATAGTTTCTGTTAGTTTATAAGAGGAACCCTTTTCATTTAAAAGTAGCAAATGGTTACAGTTCCTATGAAAGAGTTATTAGTGAATTTGTAAAAAGCTCTTCCTCTTTTGAGCTATACAAGTTTTGTCTGGCTTACATGACCCCCTTCTAAATAGCTTATATATATTGAAGCAGTCTCTGAGATAGAGTCCATATCCGAATCTTTGGCTCCTTTAAGAAAAAAACACATTTCATTTTAATTCCTGCTTCTTGGAGTAGTATTTTTGAACAAGAGTAATAGCATAAGGTTAATGCCATAATTATATTCACAGGTAAAAACTGCTGCCCTAAGATTCCATTATACATCCTCATGTTTACAGAAACAGGGTCTGCAGCCTACAGAGATGATTCTGTAGGTCACTCCCAGGCTGAGCCCCAGGCAACACTGTGGAAGAGGCAGATGTATTTTCTTTTTTGTTGTTTTTTAATTTTTAATTTTTATTTATTTATTTATTTTTGAGATAGAGTCTCGCTCTGTTGCCCAGATTGGACTGCAGTGGCATGATCTTGGCTCACTGCAACCTCCTCCTCCTGGGGTTCAAGCAATTCACTGCAACCTCTGCCTCCTGGGTTCAAGCAATTCTCTGCCTCAGCCTCCTGAGTAGCTGGTATTACAGATGCCTGCCACCATGCTCGGCTAATTTTTTTCTATTTTTAGTAGAGACGGGGTTTCACCACAGGCAGATGTATTTTCTACATTCTTGTTCAAGGGCTGGCTTCCCTACTAGATGGGAAGTCCCAGGAGCAAAGGGACAGAGTTGTTAAAGACCACTGAGGTCCTGCATCGGCCACATTGCCTGATACACAGTAGGGGCTCAAAAAAGGTGTGTACAATTTGGAATCTTCTGTCCTTCAACTGCTCCACTCTTCCTAGTGTCTGAAACCTTTCCTCCTTTGGGTCAGCATGCTGTTAGGTGATATTAAAAAAAAAAAAAAAGGATTAGTTGGCAAGAATGTGAAATACGACTTCAGCTCCCAAACATACAGTCTTAGTAATTTAGTGACAAGTAGGGAAGGGAAAAGTGTTTTATAATCCTCATTCTCCAAAAAATCTGTCCTTTCCATTATAAGCTGAAGACTCAGCGCTAACTTGCTGCTTAGTGTGTATGCACACACACTGATGAATGTGCACAGGCATATATGATTCCTGCCCTTGCTCTGCCCTGCAAGACAACCTGCAACCTCTGACTTGCTCAATCTAAAAGTCTCCCAAACCTTGACCTACAGGAAAGAAGTGCAGCCACCAACTCCTGCCCTCCCTTCCTCCCAACCCTGGAAAAAAGGTGAAAAGAAAGAAAGGTAAGAAGGGAGACAATTTGTAGTATCTGGTACATAGTAGCCATATAATATTTGTTGAAGGAATAAATGAACAAGAAGAAATAAGTCAAAGAAAAATGTTTTTTTCAAAGGAGATTGAGACAACTTGTGTAGAGCTTTAAAAGGTCAAATTTCACCAAAGATACTATAGATAGGTAATACTCCATAGAGCCTCCATCATCCATGAATTTAAACTATCTTTGACTCCCTATTTTAAATAAGAGCCAACTCCTGGCACAAGTTTCTGTGTTTTTACCTATTTTATAAATATCTTTTGAGGGCAATAACGTTACTCTTTAATTCCCAAAAGCTTCCCCGGTTCTAAAGTGCTGTAACTTTGTGAACAAGTCTTAATTTACTCTGTAGGTAGGTACTTATCAGGCTGTCTTATTGGGTGTGCACACTCAGCACCTAGTTGGCATACATATATTGGCAACTTCTTAATCCTATAGCAGTAGAGGTAAGCAGGAGCCAAAGGAATGCTTGCGTCAGGCACAAGAGAACATAAGTCTACCTGTATACTGGTAGAACAGTATTCACTAATGCCTGCTTTTGTTTTTCTGGGAAGAGCAGGGTTCTGCTGACAGAGAAGGGATATGTCTAGATAGGTAAGAAAGGTGTGGACACCTGAATGAAATCCCCTCCCTAGGCATGACTCATTTAACTTCCATCTTTTCCTCTACCCCTTCATCTAGATCTGTATAACCTGGTTGGAGAAATTTTTAAAGTGGTTTCTAACCATATGGTTTTAAAAACCATAAAGAGGTTTCATCTCCATATGATATTTCATCTTCCTATGAGGCTCCAGCTTCCGTTTAGACCTAAAGTTTACCCTACTGCATAGCTCAGGTTTGGGAATATAGTAGTACTTCCATACCTATCAGAGAACGGAAGACCATCCCATCTGGGAGACTCTAAATTGCATTTTTTTTTTTTTTTGAGACATAATCTCTCTCTGTTGCCCAGGCTGGAGTGCAGTGGCACCATCTCGGCTCACTGCAAGCTCCGCCTCCCGGGTTCACACCATGCTCCTGCCTCAGCCTCCCAAGCAGCTGGGATTACAGGCGCCGGCACCACGCCCGGCTAATTTTTTGTATTTTTAGTAGAGACAGAGTTTCACTGTGTTAGCCAGGATGGTCTTGATCTCCTGACCTCGTGATCCGCCTGCCTCGGCCTCCCAAAGTGCTGGTATTACAGGCATAAGCCACTGCAACCGGACTAAATTGCATTTTTAAAAGGTTGAATTGTACAGTTTTTTTCGCCCTATTTTTCAAGAGTGATTAGAGTCTGTACTCAAAATCTGCAAATGGGCAGTGTTCTTTTAGTGAAAACTTTTTTTTTTTAAAATTTATTTATTATTATTATACTTTAAGTTGTAGGGTACATGTGCATAACGTGCAGGTTTGTTACATATGTATACTTGTGCCATGTTGGTGTGCTGCACCCATCAACTTGTCATTTACATCAGGTATAACTCCCAATGCAATCCCTCCCCCCTCCCCCCTCCCCATGACAGGCCCCTGTGTGTGATGTTCCCCTTCCTGAGTCCAAGTGATCTCATTGTTCAGTTCCCACCTATGAGTGAGAACATGCGGTGTTTGGTTTTCTGTTCTTGTGATAGATTGCTAAGAATGATGGTTTCCAGCTGCATCCATGTCCCTACAAAGGATACAAACTCATCCTTTTTGATGGCTGCATAGTATTCCATGGTGTATATGTGCCACATTTTCTTAATCCAATCTGTCACTGATGGACATTTGGGTTGATTCCAAGTCTTTGCTATTGTGAATAGTGCTGCAATAAACATACGAGTGCATGTGTCTTTATAGCAGCATAATTTATAATCCTTTGGGTATATACCCAGTAATGGGATGGCTGGGTCATATGGTACATCTAGTTCTAGATCCTTGAGGAATCGCCATACTGTTTTCCATAATGGTTGAACTAGTTTACAATCCCACCAACAGTGTAAAAGTGTTCCTATTTCTCCACATCCTCTCCGGCACCTGTTGTTTCCTGACTTTTTAATGATCGTGTCTAAAACACCAAAAGCAACGGCAGCAAAAGCCAAAATTGACAAATGGGATCTCATAAACTAAAGAGCTTCTGCACAGCAAAAGAAACTACCATCAGAGTGAACAGGCAACCTACAGAATGGGAGAAAATTTTTGCAATCTACTCATCTGACAAAGGGCTAATATCCAGAACCTACAAAGAACTCAAACAAATTTACAAGAAAAAAACAAACAACTCCATCAAAAAGTGGGCAAAGGATATGAACAGACATTTCTCAAAAGAAGACATGCATACAGCCAACAGACACATGAAAAAATGCTCATCATCACTGGCCATCAGAGAAATGCAAATCAAAACCACAATGAGATACCATCTCACACCAGTTAGAATGGCGATCATTAGAAAACTTAATGGCTGGAGTCCTTTAGTTCGAATGTCCACTAAACAGAGTGTTACAGAAAGCTCTTAACAAACCTTTGGGTTACTTAAATGTAGCTTTTTCCTGTCTCATCCTCCAAACCATCTGATCTTAACTTCTTAAGTAACATTTATGCTTTTTAAGGTAAAATAATTATCTTTCTATGCATTTTTTTCTCTTAAACCATTATAGTCTGGCCTGATGGTAGACACAGAAGACTTTCATATTTTTGTTTTTTAAAAGTCTCTTCAGTAGGAAAAAAGCTACAGATTTAAAAAATATGATCATGACCAGAATAGAATCAGCTTAAAAAGAAACAAAGTTTTTAAAAAATCATAATCCATGCTATGTACTCACCAAAGTGTTTTGAAACTTGTGTTACACATAGATATTAGAACAGTGGTTCTTAACAAGGGGCAATTTTGTCCCCCAGAGGACATCTGGTCTGGGAGGGTGCTACAGGCATGCAGTGGGAGGCCAGAGATACTGCCAAACACCCTGCACTGCACAGGACATTCCCTCCAATTACGCAGTACAAAATATCAATACGGCCAAGGCTGAGAAATTTTGGATTATAAACAGAAATAGGTCATCCCCTTAGAAAAGAAGTCACAGGCTGGGTGTGGTGACTCACACTTGTTATCCCAGCACTTTGGGAGGCTGAGGTGGGAGGATCACTTGAACCTGGGAGTTTGAGACCAGCCCAGGCAACATAGTGAGACCCTATCTCTATAAAAATAAAAATAAAGTGGAAAAAAAAGAAGTCAGAATTCTGACTTCACTGGTTTCTGAAAATCAATGAATAAGTGGAGAGAAATGGCATATATAAAGAAATATATAAATATATTTATCCCAAATATATATTTAAATAAATATATTTACCCTAAATATATTTATTTAGGGTACCCTAAAATAAATACCCATTTTATTTCAAATGAAAGGATCTATTTTAACTTATTTTAAATACTTATT